CATTCCTGTGGGGTCCAACAGTTTTGTCTGCTGGGAAGAGAGAGCAATGGAGTCAGTATTTCTTGGAGGAAGTCCAATGGGTGAAGAATCAATGCATGTGAAATCCTGCTTCTCTGACCACAAAAAGAATCAATCAAGATGTGACAGTTTCCTTGTTCACCACCCCAAGTATCTGCCCACTCTCCTTCCTCAGGAGTAGATGACTCACCTCCTGTTTCCTTGGTGTTTTTTGCAGCCAAATCATCTGTGTTTATTTAAAAAAAAAACCCAAGAAACAACCAACAGAGCCCCTAGAAAGTCCATGGTCCAAGCATTATGGAGCTCTGTATTGTGGTAGAATATCTAAAGCATAGTGTCCCACATTTTAACTATAATTTTATAAGTTTGTTTACCTCTTCTTCTGCTTGAAGAATTAAAAGAGCAGCTACAATATAAAACACTCATATGGACTGGTAAAACAGCCCCCAGACCCAGCATTAGAGCAGTTTGGCCCTCTTCAAAGCAGGAAAACATAACCTCCTCAAGTTCCACAAAAACATCAAGGAAACAAATGCATTAAGCTTAACCTCTGCCATCCTGATGAGAAAGAAGCAAGTCTGCAGCTGAAACTTCCCAAAGAGCAGGGCTTCCAAAAACATTTGTGTACTTTAATGAGCCTGATTCAGTCTGAAAAAGGAAGGCATGTAGAATTCCTGACTCTCCTGGACTGCTGTCAAAGGGTTCCAACACAAAACCTCACATCCTCTACCTGTGTCACTCTCCAATGTGGAGTATTTAGACATGCTATGACAGACCCTACTTGGGCAGAAGCACTTCCAGAAATCCACTATGTGTTTGCCATCCTTAAAAAGCTAGGAATCCAGAAGTTACAGATGTCAGTAGTGTATTTGCTGTCGTTTCAGACTGAACTGCGCTGAGAAGGCTCATGAAATGGAAAGCCACTCAATCCATGCAGAAATGCCAATGTCAAATGATGCTTGAATGACCATGGGTGTAACCTGGAGCACCTCAGAGGATGCCTAAGTAGATGGAGCATGAGTGTGAAAATGGTAATTTTTCCCTGATGAGATGCTAGTGATAGGCCTGAAGGGTCATCTTACCAGCAGACAACTTCATTAGGTTTCTTATTTCCCTTCCCTCAGAAAGGCTGCACTTCACCCAGCCTTGCAGCTCACAGGGATGTCCTGTACCAACCCCTCATGACACACATACTGATTTCAAGCACTGCAGGAGATCTGATGCTGTATTAATGCTCCCAAAGTACTGCCAATACCAAGGCAGATTTCCAGAAGGAACCCAAAAGAACTGTGATCATGATTTATCCTCACCTCCTCACTGCAAAGATTAAAGCTCAAGCTACTATTACTAGGTCCTCTATCTATGGGCAGTACCTCGTCACCCAGGTTAGGACAGGGTAGTCACCTTAACACTGTGGAGACATCATGATGATCCCCTGACACTGAGAATCCCCACCAACACTTGCAAGGCACTGAAACAGAGACCCTGTTTGTGACAGTGAGCAGTGCTGCTTCACACTGCCATCAGCATGGACATTTCTAGATGGCAGCAAGAAGCTGGTAAACGATCTGCCACTGAGTAGCAACCCCATAAACCCATCACAGCAATGACAACATCTGTATCCAGCTGGTGGAGCTCAATTTCCAAGCTGAGCCTAGGAGAAAACTTCTCATTTTCCTCTAGAAACTCAGGAATTTCACTGCTCAGGTTCTCAGGATTACAGCTCATTGCCCTCCTGCAAGGTACTGTGATGTGGAGGACTAATGGCCTGACCTTCTCCTTTCTTCCTGGCTATGATCTGCTCCCAGTGCATCTGGTCAGTGAGCAGCAGTTGCCTGGTTCTGATACAGCCCAAAGGATGTGGATTCAGAGCTCCTGCCTGACTCCCTGAGCCTGCTCAGTCCTGCCTTTAGCATCTACCACTGCCATCCATCACCAGCAGAAGAACATCAGCCACAAAAAAAAAAAGCAGCAGCCGTGGTGGGTTCTGGAAACACTCAAAGGGCATCACCTAGGGATGTGGTTTTCTCCTTTCACAACCAGAAGTGGGGGCATTACCGTTGCTTAGTTATGTAAAGTTCTTCAAGCAAATGTTGCTCCTCATAGCTCATCCAACGGTCTTCAAGCTCCTCCTCCTCCTCCTTCTGTAACAACTGCTCGTAAAGCCTGACTGGGTTCCAGCCAGTCATGATGTCGTAGGTGATGACGCAGCCCAGGGAGTGGGACACAATTGAGACCTTCCCTCCTTTTTCCTCAAACTCTGGATTCCGGGAGCAGAACAGCGTGTACAGTCGGTTCAGCTCCTGCTGCAGCCCCTTCACCAGCTGTTTCAGGAAGGAAAGAAAAGAGAGTTGAATACCCACATCCTACCACTCCTGCCCATGCCTCACACTGGTTCTCAAGTCTGCAGCTTGGGTGGGCATCGTGGTCTGTTCACTGAGAAGATGAGCAGAATCTTACGGGCAGCAGCACTACCTTGGTTGACTGTCACTGACTCCACTGGTTCACCTGTCCCCTCTAGACCCAGCAGCAGACACATGGTGACCCCACACTACACAGCCCAAGGCATTTAACTGGAATAAAACCTTAAATGACAGCTGGGCTCAAAGTACTGAGCAGCATCCTCTGAGGTGAGCAACAGCAAAGTGCTTGGTTGCCACTAGCAGTTCCATTAGCACAATGGTGAATATTAATACAGCTTGACTGCCCCCACTGCTTGTTTCTCTACCTTGTCACAGCACTGGATGTTTCTCCTGCACCACCTCCTTTTTTAACCCAAGGAGGCTGAAAGAAGCCTGAGCCACACAGAGAATTACAGAATCATAGAATCCTTTTGGTTGGAAAAGACCTTTCAGATCACCAAGTCCAACCATTAGCCCAGCCCTGCCAAGGCCACCACTGCCCCATGTCCCTCAGCACCACATCTATAGGGCTTTGAAACCCCTCCAGGGATGGGGACTCCCCCCCTGCCCTGGGCAGCCTGTTTCAGTGCCACATGATCTGGAAGCAACTCACATCTCTGCCACATAGACAAGTCACACTCGCTCCATTTGTCAACCTGAGCACCAGCTCATTGCAGGGGACTGGGAAGATAAATCCACTAAAATGGATATGCTCAGACACTTCAGGGACAGTCTAAATGGGTTCTGGGAAAATATCCTCAAATTGCTATTGGATCTTTGCAAGGCACATTTGAATCCATCAAGTCTTTCATGATTCTGCCCGTTGCTTGACTCCAAGGAGATGCAGCTTTCTGTCCTTCCTCTCCTTCCATCCTAAATCTATTGTCATTTTTCTTGAAGAAATCAGAATGAAATGATGTCACTAAAGGGTAAAAAGCCTCACCTCAGCCAAAAGGAAGATAAAGGAGGAGAAAAAGCACAAAAGAGATGGGCAGGGCCAGAATTTGGCCATTTGATATAAACGATGATAAGAAAAACGGTTTTGGGGCTATAAGTTTCTAGGAGGGTTTTGGGGAGAAACCAGGAATGCAACACAGTTCTCAAGAGATCACAGGCTAATCCTACAGTGTCACTGCAAGAGAGATATCTTGGTCCTATGTTAAATGAATCTCTGAGGGGCCTACCTGCTTGAAGTCCTTCCCTAGGGAACATGTGCCTAAAATTGTTCAGTCACAGAAAATGTTTTGCAGAGGGAGGTTGAAAGCCCTGAGACTGAGGAACCAGACAACACAAAAAAGGCAGCTTTGCTTGTGAAACTCAGCGTGGTAACTGAGCAATGTTTCCAGGCTCTGGCACAGAGGAGGACAAACAAGAAATTGCAAATCATTCCCTTGTTAGCAACAGGAAATTAAAGCCATAGAACATGTAATTTGAGCATGATTTTTCAAGGGCCGGAATCATTAGTGACTATAAATATGAATGGCTCTAGGACTGACAGTGTTTGGGACTCATTTTACTGAGAGAGAATCCACACAACAAACCCGATGCCTAAAGCACTGGGAAATGATCAACAGCAGCTCAGTGAAGTGTCATCATTCCCATTTGCAAGTCTCTTGGATTGTGACGTTGCCTATCCTTGAGTTTGGCTCCACACAGGCCTTGGGCTCTTCTTTCACACATGAACAAACAGGTTTTAAGCATGAGTTGGAGCTGAAAGCAGAAATCAAGACCAGCATTTTCTTAATTTAAAAAGGTTTTGATTAAAAACCAGAACAAAATAGCAGAGAACTGTTGAAATCGAAGTGTTTTGGGACTCCTGCCAGGAGCTCAGTGAACTGAGGGAATGCTGATAGCCAGCAGTTTGTGTGCCTGGCTGCTGTGGTACCCAACAAGGGAGCCAACACACATTGCCCTGCTATCAGGGGACCTTGGTAGGGAGCTCAGGACCCCCAGCCACACAATGGATGGAGAGCTGCCTTCAGGTTTCAGAGCTGGCAGCATAAAAAATGCCAAGCAATCTAGTGCTGGACTCATTAGGGCTCTTTGGAGCCCTGTCAGTGGGGCAGGGAGAGGAGCAATACCATCTTGTTTTAAAACAAATCCAAATTAAACTCTATTAATATATCTGTGTCCCCACATTTCTCCTCTGGTGGGAAAAGTAAGATGCACAACAACTCAACTGCTTCCCTCACTGTCTTGTGGCTTAACAGCAATGGCATAAACCAGAATATTCTTGTCAAGTCTTTGCTGGACACTGAGACCAACCCTGACTTTAACTGCCCTGCTCCTTCAAAACATGCTGTGGCTGGGAAATTAGGCAAATAATAATAAAAAAAAAGAAAAGCAACTAAGAAACTGTGTGGATTTCCAGCTAGCTGCATATTTGGAAGTTTGCAGACCAGAGTCCAAGAATTTAATGCAACTAAATAATCTGATTGTTTCTAAATTCCACATCCTTGGTTACCTAACTTAATTATAGAGTGGATGGTTTGCTGTAGCAAAGCCTCCAGGTTTTCAGGCACTGGGAATGGCCTGGTTTTCTTCTAGGACAAAACCAGGAGTCCTTCACCTGCAGTGAGCACTTACACATGTTTGTATCTTGCCAACAGCTCTGGTTCAGTACTAAGACTAGAAACTGAATCTTTTGGCATAGAGTAAGAAAAAAAAATTAAAAAGGAAAAGAAAAATCATATTCATCTTAAGTTCCAGATAAAAACAATTATCTGGCTAAGCAGTATGTGAAGTTACAGCTTGACATCTCTCCTAACACTTCATATAAAAATACCTTCTATAAACACCAATTGCCTTTGTATTTTTAAAACTAGTGGCTTTTTCCATGGCCATTAAACATGAAAAATTAACTACTGATCAAATTTTCTCTCCTAAATGGCATCACTGTAATTAAACCCAAGATTCTAAGAGTTCATTATTATTTTTTAATCCACAGCTTGTCTATCTTGCTCACCCAGAGCCTGCTAGCAGCTTCTCCTGCTCTCACTGCACCTACATCCAGTGACTTCCCCAGTAAGGGAGCCCTTTCCCCACTGGTTTCCCTGGTGCTTCTGCCAACCCCAAGCCATGGGATCTGTTATGTGCTTAGGAAGCACCTGCTGGTTTTGCTGGAAAACAGGAAAGCAGGAATCATCCAGGAGAAAGGAAAAAAAGAAGTTTAATAGTGAAATGCAACATGACCAACCCCCTTTTTCTTTCCATCTCTCCTGATGCCTTCTCCCTCTCAGTTCCCACCTTATTTTGGGGACCAGTGGGGCTGAGCCAGTTCCTCAGCACCCCCAACAGGGCTGCTCTTTGGCATCCCCCCAGCAGGGCTTTACCTACACAAAGCCTAGAGTTTCCTTGAGTTTTTGCCCAATCCATATTAAAGGTCTTCTAAAGCTTGACTAAACAAGCTCAAATATCAAATATCTCACAAAAGAATAAATGTGGCAGCAGTTGACTGAGTCAGAGGGTTTTTTTCCTCCCCTGTGCAGCTGCTCTGCTCCATCACCCTCTGCTCTCCCAGGAGGACCCATGAAATGCAGCTTGTTTACGTGTCTGTTACTGGACAGATCAAAGCACCCTAACAAAGGCAACACTTCCTATTTCTTAAAAAAAAAATTAAAAAAAATAGCCATATCAAATCCCTTCCTCCCCACTGACCTTTCTACCACAGCAGGAGTTCAGCATCAGCCTGAGGACACTGCAGCATTTGTAAGAAAGGTACAGAATTTCTTCCTATTCTGTTCCTATTTTCTTCTCTCTGATTTGTAGGTGAAAAATTTCCTAAGCACCTTTCACAGACCAACAGTTTCAGTACCAAAGTTCAGTGCAGGATTAAAATGCTACAAACCTTGTAGATGAACCACTGCAAACACGTGTAGGACATGCAGATAAAATGAAGCAGAAACAAAGCAGGACTTTGTAATGCTTGAAACCTTTAATGCAATCAAACCTCTGTGAATGATTTAATGGCAAGTCACAATCAGGCACGTGAAGTACCCCACAATTCTCAGACTGGGGAGCAAACCCTTATGTACTGATTCAATTTTCAGACCTGCTTAATACCAGCAGAAGCAAAGACACTTGAGACACAGCCTTTGATACAGTTGGACAGAGCAGCATCCAAGAAATGCATGAGTTTCCTACATGTTCTACACTGGTCCCAAAGGGCAAGGGAAAGACTTGATTTCCAGCAGTTAAAGACCTCAGTAAAATAGAGTGGATAGAGGAAAAAACCAAAAGTGATTGAACAAATGAGCAGATGTGGTGTGGTGCTGTTCCCTTGTGAAGTTGTTCCGAGTTCATTTTTGCTTCAGGAGAAAAGAGACTCATTGCCTGAAGCTCCCTTTATCAGCTGAAGATTTGCCAATAACTCTTCCCTGCAGGAAACCCAAGCTCACAGGATCAAGTTGCCCAGACAGTCATCAGCTTATATTCTGACAAACTGAGGTTAAATGCTCTGTGCCCTTCAGAAACCAAATCAAAGGCAGATCAAGGGATGGTCTTTCTGCACATTCATGGAGAGCTGGAGTGACAGCCAGGCAATTTGAGGGGAAGAAGCCAAAAACTAGACTGTTGGGCAAGGAATGGGGTTGCTGGACCTGATCAGGCAAAAAAAATATCCTCTGCTTTCCTAACACACACCTGCTTGGCTTACCTCTTCCAAGAAGTCAAGAAATAACACCCCATTCCCCGCATCAGGAATCCTGGTGGCAAGGAATGTGTTTTATACAGTCAAGCTGGGTCTGAATCAAATGAGAGAGGTCACTGTCATCCTAGGCAGAAGAAGGAGCTGTTATGTCCTGGTGGAGAATGGATTGAAAAGAGTCCAGAGGAGAAGGACTTAGGGGTGATGGTGGAGGAGAAGCTCAACATGAGCTGGCACTGTGCACTGGAGTCCAGAAACCAACCATGTCCTGGGCTGC